CTAATTTTACTTTTTAGTTACTTTTATAATAATAAATAAAGAATAAACATAAAAAACAAGAAACAAAGTACTTACCTGAGTATGAATATAGACTGATAACATGCAAAACATGTAGACAATTTCCTCTAACAATCACAATTTTTGTGCCTTTCAACAAGAGCTATTACAAAGGCACCCAAGCTAGCTATTGTCATTTCAATGGGAACCAAAGTTGTATTACAAGTGAAACTGACTATTCTGTGTTCAGAACACAATGTAATAGAATATGTCATTTGATAGATGAAAACCCTGCTTTCTATTGGTTATAGGTAATATATAATTAAATGTAAAAGAGAAGTATTAACAAATCCTAAAATAGAGGATGTAACAGGTGGAGTCTCATTTTCTACTTGATAGCTATGTAACCAAACAAAATTGAAGGCTATAAAAATTATGGTTTGTCTGAGCAATGACAATTTTATAGTGAGTGATTTACATTTAATTTTTAGTTTCTGGGGGGTAGATAAAATAGCAATGTGAAAATACGTAGAGAAAATGTGTCACATTTGTCACACTAGGAGGAATTAAGGATTTTTTTAAATATTGCCTTATAAAACTAAGAACTTAAAAAATATATATATACTATTAAAATAAGGATTATTAGCTAAGATTTTATGCTATACTAATTGGTATAACACAAGCAAACAGTAGTTTAATAAAATTTTGAATTTAAGGCACTAAAACTTTGTGTCATGTGCAGTAAAGGATACCCGGAGTGAGTGGGTTAATGAACAGACCACACTTTCAACATATAATCAGACAAACTGACAATATGATATAAAAATATCTTATTTCTAAATTAAAGTTTGAGTTACAATAAATTTAAGTTTTACTTGTGGTGTGTAAAGATGCTGCAAAATGTTAACTAGTTGTACTCAGTTGCTGAGTATCCCCCACATTATTGTAAAATAAGTTTGCTACATAGGCTTTTCATTTTAAATGTTTTAAGCATAGAAACAAAACTCACAGGTAGACAGTTGTAAAGTATAGTTAAATAACATAATCACCTCCCATTATGTTACATAAACAGAAGTTATACCAAAAGTATACAATAGAATGTGGTAAGAGAAGCCTAGAATACTTATTAATTTAGATTAATTACTTTAACAAATGCACATACATACGTATATAAATACATTAAGACAAAATATTAGTAGAAGTACTAGAAGTATATTTAACAAATTTCTCAGAAACTAGTGTAATTGTTGAAAGCCTGAGTTCCACTCTTCTGATACTCAAGGTTAATTTGCATTATTAGTCCACTTTAGTTTAAATAGTACATTAAAAATAACTCTGGGTTTACCTCCATTCCTAATCTAATATCTTCAAGCACACCATCAACTACCTGAGGTCCAACATTTTCCTGTAAAAACAAAATGTTACTATTAAAGGCAGGAAAACAAATTATCTAATTATTTTACTTACTGGAATCATCAACCTTTCATAACTTATTAATTTAGTAAAGCTGTATATTGACAACAAAGTATAATCAAGCATCAAACCTAACCTTTAATTGCACTAACAAATAGCTGTTACTTATTTCTTTTTTTCCCACTGAGAAATTTAGGGCTACTAGCAACAACATTTTCTTCTCTGTCATGTTTTCTTTTAACCCTACGCACACAGGAGAGTCAAAGTGCACATGCCACAACCTTTTTCTAGAGTTACATTCAAAATTTAATTAAACTAATTTATTATCAACGTATGTTAATAAACTTGGCATCAAAATGTAGTTTATAATTCACATTTAAATACAAGTTTTAATTTCTTAATTTCAAAAATAATTATTTGAATAAATTCTCAATCTGTAGCTCTGAGCCACATTATGTAGGGACACTCCAACTTCTCCCATATCCTCTGTCTTTTAAGAAATATATATAATTCTCCCTTACATTTCTATTAGATATGTTCATAACCAATAGAAAAAGTAAATTTCAACCTACGTAAAATAAATGATTGTTTTTTTCATTGGTAAAATCTGATATCTCGTTATGATAGCCTGATATGCTTAGACTAAAGACACTGCTCTAAGCAGTAACAAGATTGTGTAACCTATTTATAGGTTAGTTAGAAAACCAGATAAATTATAGTAGTTTTGATATAATCTATTCGATAGTTTCAGATATATTTTTTGTTATCTAAAATGCACATTTAAATTATTTTTGGACAACCAAGACAAGAAGAAAATAAGCTTACTAAACCAGGCATCCGAGTGCAAAAGGCATCAAGGCTAAATGGCTTGATTTATATGTATATATTTTTATTCATTTTAATATATTTTTTCATAAAAATGACTAAAATGTACAACTTAGAATATGCATACAGAATGCACACTGCTGATGTAACTTGATAGTTTAATTTACTGCTTTATTACACTAGTTAGATATGGTTTAAAGAACAATAAAACAATAAAATTAAATGAAAGCAAATGTGCAACTGTTAAGAAACTGTTTTGTATAAGTAACTGTAACTGTTACAATCTGCAGGCGTTCTAGAAACAAAAATGTATTTCTGATATTATTTCATACTTTTTGACTTTCATTATGGGTGGTTTCATTACAGTATGTGATAGGGTAAAGAATATAAGAGAAAAAGTTTTACTGAAAATCTTTTGATATTTATTGAGGATGTTTTATAGGTTATGCAAATAAAATATGAAACTGTAAGACTTTGTAAATTCAGACAAATCTTCAGCAAACATAATCTATTAAAAAATATGATTTTCTGTGTACAAAACATGGAATGTTTATTAAAAGATTGTCAAATTTTGTGAAGATAGTTACATTACGTACAGTTTCGTGGTTATCTGATGGTCATAAGGTTAGTCAGATTTACTCCACCCATATGCATAGGATTAAAACAGTTTTAAATATCAAACATACTTTAATTACACATAATCGTTTTTAACTATGGCAATAAACTTAAAAGATACTCAATTTGGGCACAAACTGATGTACAGTACCCACTGCTGACAGCCACCCTATACTAGAAGAAGTGTATTTTATTTTTTGAATTACATAATGCTGACTGTAATCGTGAATAAATAAAACAACTATAATTTCAGTGATACAGTTCATTACAAAGTTTATGCTCCTGATGAAAACATACAGCTGAAATGTTGAGCTAGTTAAAAAACTTTGATGAAAGATTCTCCTGAGTTTGTTTGTTGCTATGCACAAGGGGCTATCTGTGCTGTGCTGATCACAGGTATGAAAACCTGGTTTTGTGTTATAAGCCTTCAGACTTACCACTGAGCCACTGGGGGGGCTTCTCTGAAATTCACGGTCATTTCATTATTAACAATATTTTCTTATTATAAACACAGAAAGATGGTGAGGCATTAGAGGCCAATGGGCCACACATTTGCAGTTTACATGATTTCTATTTTATTATTACCTCTAATGAGAAACAACTTGTGCACAGTATTTCTAATCACACTGCTGGTAAAACTACATTGCAGATACCATATGGTGGAAGTCTAGCTGTCCTAGGAAAGCAATCAAATCGCTATCCCTATTTCCCGATACTTAGCATAGGTATGCCATGCAATTCAAATGCGAATCACAAAACCACCACTGTACTGGCAAGTGAAATAATTTTTTAATCATAATCATAGAAGCTTCTGGACTCAGAATCTTGCAATACAAATTATATAAAACATACATCATTGACGTTTTGATACTCAACAGTTAGAATCTGTGAAACTGGACTCAGAATCTTGCAATACAAATGATGTAAAAACATACATCATGGACTCAAATTCGATGATGAGGAACCCACTTTGAGACTAATAATGGTTGGAGACGGCTTGAATGGGTAATG